TGACTGTGTGGATCATAACAAACTGTGGCTGACTCTGAGAAGAATGGGAATCCCAGAACATTTAATCGTGCTAATGCGAAACCTATACTTGGGCCAAGAGGCAGTAGTCAGAACAGAGCAGGGCAACACTGAATGGTTCAAAATTGAGAAGGGTGTATACCAGGGATGTGTCCTATTTCCATACCTTTTCAACCTGTATGCAGAGCAGATTATCTGAGAGGCTGGGCTCCATGAGGAGAAGTGTGGCTTCAGGATTGGTGGAAGATCTATCAACAATCTGTGTTATGCAGATGACACAACCCTGCTTGTTGAAACTGAGGAGGACCTCATTCACTTGCTGCAGAGGGTCAAGGACTGCAGCCTTCAGTATGGACTGAGGCTCAATGTCAAGAAGACAAAGATTCTCACTACTGGACCAATCGGTAGCATCAGATGGATGGCATCTAACAAAACACACCAAGTTAATGCACAATAGACATAAGCATAAATTTGCACATAGTACCCATTCTATTTTCCCTCTATGACTATGACTTTCTGTATTTTTTTTTACTTTCTTAAGGCATGTAATAACAAAATCTGAAAAGTGAATTCTTCCCTAATAAAATAGCCATATGAGAACACGGTCTCAGTGTCATTTCCATTTCTGTGTAATTGGATCCTGAAGCAAAGGAGCTACTCAATCTGTGATCAGACATGTAACCAGAAAAGTTGTGATACAATAGATGTGTGTTATTAAAATAAATAGTTAAGCTGAATTTTTTAGTTCTAAGGCTTCAGGGAATATTTTTGGCTTAATTTTTAATGATTATCTCAGGACAGTAGTTTCAAGGGTTCAACCACCTTCCAAGGCTCCAAAAAGTCTGGTTTCCACCAAAATATGAAATCTGTTCTACATTTTCTCCTTTTGATAATGATACTTCAGTGGAATCTTTGTTTAAAATGTTCAGTCAAGATTGCTGGGCACCATCCATTTCTTCTGCTCTCATGGCAAAATCAACAGTTATTTATAAAGGCTATTAGTCATTTATTTCATACCCTCTTCCTGACTCTAAGGAGCTCTGGTGCCATAATCAATAGAGCGCTGAGATGCTAACTCAAAGTCACACCTCTCTGGGAATTTGAATCCACCAGTGTGGAGTCAGAAAAGAAAGATGGTCAGTCCTCTCCTGTGCAATGGACAGCCCCAGAAAGCCAGCAAAGAGTGATCTTATGAGTCGCATCCCATTTGATGACAAAGAAGGAGAGATTTCTCACTCTCTACCTCTCGTTCCAGGGAGAGACCAATGTGCCTTGGACAGTCAGCCACTCACCAGCTGTTTAGACCTCAAGTACTGCATAACAAACTACGGAGTTGCAAGATTGACTAACACGATGTCCCATGAAATCATAACCCTAAATTTCTACAGCAAAAACCAAAATTCCATGAGGTGCTTGGTTGAAAATATGTAGCCTATATAGCCACTCTCTTTTGGTCATTGTTAATTTCTCTTGTGTTACAACTTTTGCTGATTCATCTTTTTACACATATACAACTATCTGCCAATTTGCCTTCCTTTTGAGAAAGTACTTTTCTAAACCATTACTAATGACTTTTACTACTTACGTATTCCTTCTAAGCATGTTTTACTAATAATTGTGTATCTCATGTGACAGAGCAATGGCAAAATGAAAGGGAGAATTAACCCTTTGTAATAGGTAAGTATCACCTTGCTATTTTAATAATTTTGAAGAAGTCTACACTTAGAATTTATCTCTAAAAGAAACAGAACAATTCCCTGATGCTCAAATGAGGAAATCAAATGAACCACATGCTTGTGTTTTGTTGTGTTTTCTCATTTACTTTTTCCCCTTTGGAAATGAAAT